ATGTTTTTGGCTGTATTACATACATTAATTGGTGGCTGAAAGTTACGTTTTGCTGGCCATGCCAGCTGTCATCGTAATTTGGGGACCGAGCAGGTTTTTACAGGCCGGGGCCGCAAAATCAGCTGTCCGCTTATGAATGCATTTTAAATACACAATCAAAATCCATAGCATTGCAATAGAATTGTGTTATTGTCACCGTTGCCTAGCAACTATTTATTTTATTTTTGCTGATTCCTCAAATTATTTCTTCACATAACCTTAAAGTTGTAGTTGTGTTGACTATCAGTGTGCATTATTATAGTGGTGAATAGTGGTAATAGGGTATAGTGTGGTGAAAAATAGCGTTCGTACCACGGACCGAAATGGTTTTGCAGCTCTCGATCGATTTAAGTTCTCGACTTCGTCTCGAACTTAAAACTATCTCGAGCCGGCAAAACCTCATTTTCGGCCCTAGGTACGAAATATACTATATTGGAACTGTTCAAACTATATTTTGAATGTTATTAGTACAGGATTCGGGCCAGTTAGTCGTTTGTTTGTGTTTAAGATTCATATACCGTTTCTGTTCTAATATTCATGCCTCCTCCTTTATAATTATTGTGTTTCGGCACATTGCGCAGCATCAGATGTTTAAAATGTATTTTTGATAATGCACACGTCATCTAGTTGAATTTTTTAAGTTTTTTGTGTTCTTGTTTTGCAGTTATATGGCCCAAGTACCACTTAGTTGATAGTTGATAATTGATGTATTCTTCTCTACTTAATCTGCTATCTTAAAATTGTGTTTATTCCGAATTATTGGAGTCCCACTTACTGACATTCACTTATTTGTAATGTCGGAATGATTACCTTTTTTCTAAAATCGAATAAATGCCACCATTATTCAAACAAACAGTAGCTGAATAACCAAATCAACAGTGCCACGTGCAGCTGTCAACGCCGTGCGACGATCACGTGCTATAGCGGCGTGTCACGTGACGTGTCCTGGAAGGGTTCATCATTCCATCATAAGTGATGTATGACGTCCCAGCTGATTGTGGTGAAAATAATCTGCCAGCTGTGGCGAGATACAAGTCAATGTTGGTAGCATTGATTAAACATACTTCCTTGTCGATTTGGCAACCATATGGACCAGCAGAAGACGATATTTGCCCCTTTTACACAGGAGATTAGGTTTTTTCTAACCACCGGTGTAAACGTGGTTTTGACTATCTATTGTCAACAAGTGTTGATCTCAAATGTAATAATACTCTATGATCAGTTGTCGACTTCGTGTGGAAAACCAAATTCATGTTGTGAACACTGAAAAACGTTTGTTATATTGCCATTGATTTTTCTAGGTGTTTTTTATTATTGTCAATATTAATATATGTGTATAAACTTCGGAGGTGTAACAGTTCAACATTGTGTTGAACATAGAAGTGGATTTCTTTTTAGAATTCTGCTTAGAATGGGTCTGATAATTTAGGTCGGCCACCGTTTACTGTGTTTGCAAAAACGTTTTCCTTCTCCCTATTAAATTAGATGACCTTTGCCGTTTTCTTTTCCGGACCAATGCTTTGTTTATATCTACTGTATTTAGTCAATACATTCATGACTTTAAGTGGAAACAAAATTGTTTTGATGGTTTAATGGTCATGTATAGATTTCACAATAATTACAAAAAATACAAAAATATCCAATTCAACTATCAGTTCAATTTCAATTTACGAGTATGAATTCAATTTCTGTGATAGTCTAGAAAACGATATACTTAATCCATAAGAAACACACGTGTTGAAAATTCAAGAACTACAATGTTGATTGCAAAAATTAAATAAAAACAAACTATTGCAATTAAAGTGACTTATAAACAGAACAATGAAAATAATCAACGACGACTAACAATAAATGAGAGGCAAACTGAACAGAAATAACAAAGATAAATCATGTAATTGAATCAACAACAAAAACTTACAACAAATAGTAACAGAACATCCTGCATGATTGAGCACATCATGGCATCAATGACTATGGTTTTAAAACTAAAATGTATTTGATAGTTGATGGTCCTCACGAGAAACCGTCAATGAGGAACTAACCCTGAGTACGACATATATTTCCCAAATTGTAAAATAATCAAAATAATAAGAATGCTGTAGTAGTAAAAATACAAAAAAATTATCATGTTTCATGAACAAAGCTACAAAATGCACAATTTACACACATTGTGTGGCTTGTAGCCCTAATATTCACGTGTAAACTCACAGTCAGTTCGATAGTGCAGGCAGGTACTTTAATGTTTAATATTATCCCCTTTCTTGCCACTGCACGCCTCTCGCCATGCTTGTTTGTTTTCCAATATTAATCTGTCTAGTCCCACAATGCACCGGGGCCATTTCAACAATGCCTCAACTACCTACGTCAGAGACCCTTACAAATTACAATTGAAGCGATCTAGATAGGGTCTTGAATATTGAAAAATGCATTTTCAATCAAAATAATCATGCTCCACCTCTTACTGTAGAATATTATATGTGAATATTATATATGTACTGTGACTGTGTAATGTTTTTTGTATTTTTAGCTAAGTGTAATATACAATAACTTTTCGATTTATTAGGAACTTTCGTTTCATTTGTTTTTGACAAGGGTGTTATGTAAAGTTGTGCGAGCACAGTAGGCTTACATAACGTTATTTATTGTAAATCATTGTTGGTTCCAGAGTAGAGGATCGAACCAGCAACCTTTAGCCTTGAAGGCGAACTCTATATCCACTTGGCTACCCAGTAATCCACAAGTTAATTTTAACATGAATTATAAACTAACAACACACAGAGTATGAGTGTGGAACCATTGACTATGTCTACCCTGCGTGCATGTTATATGGATAGGAGGAGGGCAAACCCAACAGCCCATCTATAGGCAGGCACGCACTGTCATGCAGCCTTCCTGTCCTATAAACAATCGATATATCGAGGGATTAAAAGTGATGTGATGTTGCAAAGCTAACATTGACCTGTTGACGCGAACTGCAAAGTTGCGTGCACTGAACGATTTGCCTCATTAAAGAGTTGGGCTTCCAAGATGTTGACTTGGTTAGTCATTTTAAAAAGTGCGAAACACAATGGCTTAGTTTGTATGGTGCAATACACGGAGATAATGGTAAAAATGGTAATATTTATTAATCATTCGCATTCGTTTCGTTTTAGGACGATTGTAAGCGACATTTTCTATACCCGTATAATAATGTGTTGAGGTTTGATATATTTTCCATAAATATATGTTTTCGTTCATTAACTAAAACCGATGAGTAGTTTAGATTTTGAATTCCTACCAAAAGACTTAACAGTTTTATCATTGTATATTGAGTGTGTATATTGTATTGTGTATACAAAACTGGGACGGGTGGCGTCGTCCTGTAATCCAGCTACTATAGGAGGTACGAATTGTGGATATTTATAGGCATGCTCTGTGGATGCGATACTCCCTGGTGTGGATTAACGTCCGCACGAGTGAGTACTACGACTATCCGCAGTACTATCCTGAAAATTAGACCAATTCGTATATAAAGGCAAAATATGGTTCGGATTCCACTGTAAACTGTAGGTCCCTTAGGTGCCATTAGCTGTATGGGCTATTAATTAACAGCTGTGTCTAAGGAATAAGTCGGCCTTAGTCACTTAACAGACTTCAAGATCACGCCACTCATCATACACTCATTACCATTCATACTTGGCTTAAAATACCTACTTTGTATGGTCGCCATTTCATTGAAAAGTATTAAAGTATTGTAATGTACAATTGTATATTGTGTATATATTGTATTTTGCTGGTAAACGAATGTAGAAGGACCGAAACACAATGTTACAACACCTACAGAAATGAATTTCCCAGACAGCTAAAGTAGGCTACTTTTCCTACAGTTACCTACCTAACAAAGCGGACTTTTTTGCACTGATTATAGCACGCAAAGTAGCTAATTGCCGCACTCACTTACTTTTGTCGCAATAATTTTAATTTGAGCTTGTTTGTGATTTTTGTGTTATATCGGGCATAAAAACCAACAAAAAATAAAAATTTGGAGGTTGATTTTGAATTATTATCCCTAAATCATTATACTAGTTGGTCATGACAAATGCGTATTACAATTCATATAACAAAGAATATGTATAGTCTGAATCAGTATTTTAACCATATTTTGTCCATCTTATGTTGTACATACATTATGCGTAAAAATTACCATGCAATTAATTAACGTTTATATACAATCAATCGGGGTTATGTAGTTGTTAAAATACTTTGGTGATAGGCCTAATCATTGTTGACTTAGGGTAGCCTACTGACAGGAGAAAGAATGATTAATTTTCGTTTAAACTTACTTCTTCAAATCCAACTTCAATATCCGCAGGTGCTAGTAATTCATTAAAAAATAATTATAAATTATAAAAATAGGGCTCTTTTAATAAATTTTCTAAAGTTTAATAGGAAATCCGATATTCTTATTCAGTAACAAATCCACACAGATCATCTCAATCCATTAATATTCAGCTTAAAAAAATGGGCCATCGATTAAACTATTTGTGACACAATAAGCTAGCTAATTGCTAACAGAAAATAAGACTTAATGTAATCTCACTACATTTTACACCTATCCTGCATTTTGCTCAAAACGCGTCGTTGTCAATAAGTATTGAATGAAGGCTTGACAGGTGTTATTTTGTTAGGTTACATTTTACTCATTGTTCACATTCACCCATAATACTCTCACACTAACAACAATAACGTCAATAACTATATGAAACTTAAAGTCATCTTACTATTTTTCTATTTTACCCTCACCCGGCAAATTCAGCTTAAAACGTGCACCCAAATGTTCTTCGCTGTGCTATCATTGATTCAATCATAGTAAATCAGTTAGGCTACAAGCACTTATTACTCACACACAACCGTAACTTCACGCATAATCATACATAAACAGCAATATTCGAAACTCTCTACACTTAACCTCTCTAAGTTACCTGGTTGGCGTAAAAGTTGCGAGACATTCTTGGAAAACTTCAGAAAAGTCGCGAAATTCAACCACACAACGTAATCACCTATCTGCCGATGTTTACCAACAATCATGTCATCACTTCGGTCATAAAGTCATCTCGGCTGTTCAAATCGATCCATAGAGTATACAGAAGCGATCTGAGGCATCTAACAATGAGGTCTCCACGGCAACCATTGCTCTGTGTTTTGTCAATGTTAGCCTCCTCGCATGCCGAGTGCTTTTATTCTCGATTTGAATAAATTTAATAAAAAGCGAATCGATTTGTTTATGAAACAGAATTCTAATTCTCTTCCGATTCCGGGTCAACGTTCTCGTTTGGAAATCATTTTTACGTTTGTTTGAAAATATTCTGTCTGTTTTAGATGTGCGTTTTGCACGGTACTATTTTACTAAGAGGGAAGAGTTATCAAAATAAAATCAACGTGGGATTCGATTAGTTTTGTAAATATGAATCGTTAATGAAATATTAAACCTACTTTTATAACCTCTTGACTGTCGTTGAAGTAAAAAAACAATTATTAAAAACAATCGTTGAATTAAAATAATAAATAGAAACAACTTATGATTTTTTATGAAAACAATATTTTATCAATGACATAGAGTTGAAAATGACAAGACCACTGCCAATGTAACTAAATTAAAAGACGAAGAAAAATAATATACTGTCAAAATCCAATAACTTCTATGAATCCCATAGCTTTTAACATACAATCATTAAATCAGTACTAAAAAGCCTTTGCATCTTACCTTAAGATCTATCAATTGTTAAAGTGTGTGTTTCGTGTTTGGTTACCTAATAATATACAGTGTGTTTGAAATGTTCGTTAACACTACCTATTAAAATATTTCATACAAGCTATAACTATGTTTTTATGTAATTTACCATCCTATACAATCCTATCCACAAGGGTTGAGGGAATGACCCATGAAGTTTGTTGTAGAAATATTGAGTGTAAACATGGGTCGAATTATACCTAATGTTATTGGTCCAGTTAGTAGAGTTTGTATCACAAACAGCATCTCATGAGGTTGGTCGTAGCAGAAATGGCAAAATATACAGGTAAACAAGTACAATAACAAACTTTATAGTAAACATAATAAATTATCCTCGCGTTTAAATGGCTTCAAGGGCAAAAAAACCACTCCAATAAACTAGGTTTATGACTCGTCTTAATATACTTTGGAATTTAATGCTTATTAGAATAGTTTAAAATGTCGATGAGTATTTTATGTTATTAATTTAGCAATTAAATACTAACAAATTGAGGTAGCATACATAAATCGCCTTCTTTTGGTTTTGTATTATATAGACTATAAAAGTAACTTTTCCTTCTTTTTTCTTAATCCCCTTTAAAATCTGGTATATTGTTGCAATTATATAGGTAACTATTATGCTATATAAAGAATGTATGCTACTTTTTGTATTTAAATTACTTTTTGATTTTAGAAATAGCATTTTTTTATGAACTGTAAGAAACAAATATAAATAAAGGAAGTAAATGAATGAAAGAAGTGAAACTGTTTTAGATATTTCACGATATTTAAAAGGGCCTCAAATTGTAATATCCCTAGCTAGAGTTGTGGTGGTGGTGTAGTAGTGGTACTGTAATACGCATTTAGTCAGTTTATTACAATCCAACAAGTGTATATAAAAAATAGCCTTTGTGAAAAAAAAACTCAGAATTTGTATTGACATTTTGCAATATAAAGGCTTTGATTTTTATGCATAACTTATGGTTTATTCTTTGTAAAACATATGATTGTTTTGTAATGAAGTTGGGTTGAGTTAGTGTTTGTGTGCAAGGTATTTTGGTACATATTGTTTAACAACATTTATTTATACTAGTAACCAGGATCTATAAATACTTAACAAACATTTTTTTCTTAAACAAAATTACATCATCAGACTTTTATGAGTGAAATTTATTCTACAACAACGAGTTTTTAAAAACACAGTTTACGATTAAGCACAATTCAATTAATTTATAGCAATGCAGTTTCAGAATTTATTCCATTCCATTTTATATCTCATATTGAACCTATGGTGGTTCCCTAGCAACTGGCCCCGCCCAAGATGTAAGTATCGATCTAGGGATGCTGCTATTGGGCCGCGCAGGGATGGGCTGGACCCAGCATCCCTATGTGATTCTGGACCATCCCCATCTTCCCTTACATCCCTCAGGACTCTCTGCCAGGCTACATCTACACAACCCCAGACCCTGGACACGTCTGGAACCTATTGCTGTTGGATCAAGTAGGTTTATTTTCAATAGTTTATGTTAGCAATTTTCTAATAATAAGCATCATGTTTGCTTTGAAGGGAAAATGTAGATATTACCTTATATTTTTATCACTAATTACTATAAAATATCATAGCTGAGGTTTTGACACTGTTTCTAATATGCATTTAGTTTCGAAGTTCAACACTGATCTTGATTGTTGGCAAAATGTAACTCGAATGGTTTGATATAGTTTCACAAAGAACCCAATTTGGCAAGGATCAGTGCCTTTACAATATATATTAAAATACCCATTTGCGCTTTTATGAGTAGCCTATGCTGTATTGGGGATTTTAAATTTGATACAATATTAAATGACAATTAATCAGACAGAAATATATAATATTCAGAGGTAACTTATTGTGCATACCGAAATAACTGTATATTTTCAAATGTTCTGAAAGATTAATTGTAGGAAATTGTAAGAGAGAAATTGTCGGGTACCTATGATTTTTTCATTGGAAGATTAGCTTTATTTACACTTGTTTATATATTTTTAATCGTAATAAAACAGTAAAAATCCAACCGCGTTATTTTCTCACCCCATGTTTTGTGTGGATTTTGAATAAAAGTAAAGGAGAAAACCTTGTATATGGGTAACCAAAATGGCGTCCAAGGCAGCCATGTTGGATGTATAAACGTATAATCCACGATCGGAGGGATTTGCCTGTAGTAGTCGCCATTTCTTACATTAATCATGTCTTCAATTACCGGTACTGATTTTTTAAAGATAAGGTTTGAAAAAGTGTTATACATTTTTATGCCTATGGCATTGAATTAAATGTTTGCTTTTTAAACTTTTCATTACGACTAAATTTCGATTGAAAAAAGACAAACACTTATTTAGCAGATTACTGTGTTGGAAAATTCGTACCCGTGAAAAACATTCGTTGACATAAGTGGTTTACACGTCATTAATTTAATCTAATGTTCTATGTAATGAGCTTTTGTAAAAGCTGTTCTTGAATGAATGCTATAGGTCGGCCGCTTAGAAAGCGTCCTCCTCGTAGCATTGGTGCGAGAGAGAGATACCGAGCTGTGGGAGTGAGACAGAATATTGCTCTTCTCCCACTCCGCTGCCACCCCACCCCCACCCATTATTTTATTTTACCTTTTATTTTACCAAATCATATGTTTTCTTGTAATTTTCCAAAGACTTTCGAATGACAATCATTAGGAATCAGCATTGAATATATAACACTATTTAGTTTTATATATCCAATATAGCGTTGTATTCAACATTGAATGAATATACTGTAGTAGTGTTATATATAAAACTACTACAGCTAGTTATATTGTACAGTTATATGGTACTATTTAACCAAAAAACAGTAAAGCAGTAAATACTTGATTGGCTGATTGGAGGAGTGGGGGATGTGCGTGCACACACCTTCTTTTATACGCCTTGCCATCCCGGGTCCAGAGGTATTACCATGAGTACCCTATAGGAAATTCACTAAAAGGCCGTCACTAAGATGTGTGATCGTTACTTGCGATGGTGGCAACGCCATTATAATTGCAATCACGTTATATGCGTCTTACACAATCGTGGCAACATCCGCGATAATTTCCTGCGATTATCTCAGCTTTCATGACTCGTTGTGATTGCGGCCATATCTTAATCGCGGCGAGATTCGTGATGAGTGTCCCTATCGCGGCAACAGCCATTGCGGTGGGTCCTGTATTCGGGATTGTTTGCTGTGGTCATGATTTTCCACTTCTTAAAACGAGAGAGGCCATTCGGTAAGCGTCTAGTAAATTTTTGAAGTTATTAAGAAAAACCATAGTCCGAGGGGATCCTACTGGTTTAGTGCTTGGGTTTAGTGTATGTCATTTGAGTGTAATAAAATCTCGACAACTTACGCTATATGTCGTTTTGTGCTGTTTATGTTAAATATATGTAAAAAGAATCTTGTCAATTTATTTGTAACTATTTATTTTCCACTAAGGCTACTTAAATTAGAGATTTTCAATTATATAAAACATAAGTAGGAGCTACAAAAAAGGTTCCGTCGTGATTATCTGTATGGATAACACCATTAAACAGATTATTTTTCTAACTAATATGTAGGGATGAAAATTAACCTTAACATTCGTGTAACTGAGCAGTCAGACATTTTCGGCAAGCCTCTTGTTTTCGGGTGGGCCTGCGAGGGACTGTTTTCCACAGCAGTACGAACTCGGTCGAATGTTCGTTGTCTGGCATCCGATCTGACTTTGTTCGGCCTTTCAGCTTCCTTTTCAAGGCAGAAGCCGTTGTTCTAAAGTTAGTAACCCACCGCATTATTGTTATACGCAACGGAATTTCTCCATGTCGCCTTAACACGTTCCCTACCGACCGTCTCACTACTCTGTTACTGAGGGATGAGTATAGTTGGTAGCTAAAGTGTTAATTGAAAGAACGCACGAAACTGCTTATGCTGCTGAGTTGCAATGAATGAATTCAATACTTTTTAAAAACAACTCCATAACAACCTCACGTAGCTCAGGCCGACCACTGCTCTGTGTCTAGAAAAAATGGCATTGTGTAGACTTTCCAACGAGCTTACTCCCACCACTTTCAGACAACCTGTCGCTGAACAGTGCTCTGCAGAAAATGGATCGGTTTTTTGCCGCACCCTGTACTTTATAACACTATGACTATATTCAATATTGAATACAACACTATATTGGATATAAAACGCTAAATAGTGTTACATATTCAATGCTAATTCGTAATGATTGTCATTCGAAAGTCTTTGGAAAATTACAAGAAAACATATGATTTGGTAAAATAAAACACGTTCAGCTAGCACGTGACGTCACTATGCACACATTATGTGAAAACGGCCATTGGCGGAGAGGGGGAACGTACCCTCCCTCCCTGTTACCTCCCCTACATGCGCTAAAAATTTCGCGCAGGTCGTTTTCTAAACGGCCGACCTATAGTGGTCGCTTAGTGGTCGAACAATCAAATGAAAATAATGTGCAGATTTCTCTATTTTCACCCCACGCTGTAAATAAAACATGTGATTGGAATTTCTTCCATTTAATTGTTTTTATTTTTAGTTTATACTAGCTGAACCCGGCAGACGTTGTCTTGCCTTTGACTATTTACAATCCCGCGGGCTTTGCCCCGTTTAACTTCTTAATTTTCAAGATGATCTCGTTCGTATGGCTCAATCACGTCCTGGTTGAAGTTCGTTCGCTACGCTCACTCACCTTTAGGTTGGAGCTCGTTCGCTACGCTCACTCACCTTTAGGTTGGAGCTCGTTCGCTACGCTCACTCACCTTTAGGTTGGAGCTCGTTCGCTGCGCTCACTTGCCTTCAGGTTAGCTCGTTCGCTACGCTCACTTGCCTTCAGGTTAGCTCGTTCGCTACGCTAACTTGCCTCCAGGTTAAAGTTCGTTCGCTACGCTCACTCACCTGTTGGTTGCAAATTAGCTGTTGTCATAAATGTAAAAGAAATAATAGTGCTGCGCCCTGTTGGTAATCCTTGTAACTTTAATGCTATTGAACATCATAGAACAGAACCAACTAGTTTAATTGAAACAGCTGTTAAGATTCATTAATTCCATTTCTCATAAGGTTAACATGGGAAACTCCAGAGGCACTGGGGCGGAGCCGATTGGACGGATCACGAAATTGATGGTGTATAAAACTATTCCATGACATTCTCCACGTATGTACTGTACCAAGTTTCGTGGCCATCGGTTCAGCGGTGTCTAAGTTTATCACTGCCAAACAAACAAACAAACAAATAGATATACAAACATCCTCTTTTATACTTATAGATTCGTTGTTATTTCATCACCAGCATGGCAACCATTAGGCCCATGTTAATTTTTTGAAATTTATAATTCATTTTTTGTGCTTATTTTCGAGCCTATTTTGATTTTAAAAGGGGTTCTGCACATCTACATGAATATATCTTTCTAAATTATGCGTAGATTTCTTGCGATGCACAGAAGCTGAGAAAATAGAATAGAATTGTTCAAAGTTGAATATTCAAATATTAATCATTTCTACGAATTATTTCTCGGACGCAAGTGTATTATTAGAAGGTTAAAAAAGCAAGTACAGTCAGCGTCCGATAGAACTAAAATCATGTTCCAGTATTATTAAAGAACAGTTATCCAAAAATTTTAAAGTCAAACAATTAGAAAACTAGTATGTTTTGCGTTAAACATTGAGTTTAAAATACTAAATAATATTGATATTTGAATAAATTATTAATTGGCTTTCTGTTTATTGATCTGTATATCTCGCCATTTTCCTATTTTATATTTATAATGACTTATAAATTTATATTAGCATCTATCTATCTATATATTAATAGGCAAGCATGTTTCTTTAAAACCTTTTTTCTCAGGTTGTGTGCATCGCAGGGAAAATCTACGCATACTGTTGGAAAGATATTTACCTGTAGATGTGCAGAATGCCTCTAAAAATTAAAATAGGCTAACAAATAAGCACAAAAAATTAATTTGAAAACTTCAAAAAATTAACATGGACCATATGGGTTGCTATGATGGTGGCGAAATAACAACAAAAAGTAAACAGAAAATCAAAACAAATGGAAGAAATTCCAATCGCATGTTTTATTTACAGTGTGGGGAGAAAATAGAGAAGTCAGTACATTAATTATTTTTGGTCGAGTTTCGACCACAGGACAACCACTAGTTCGTATTATTTGTTTAAATATGTGTCATAATACAATACATGAAACTAGATTAAACATCTGACCTAATCATTGTAAACATCGTTTACCCCAATATTTAGTTTTTATAAATAAAAGTATATTGTGCTGAATGGTCTTGCAACTCGAATCATCCTCTAGGCTGAAGAAGCTATACAATAAAATAAAACAATTCTCACTAAGCAGTTACAATTATTAGCCTTTATTATGCATACTATGGGACCGCCATCATAAGAAAACGATTTCAAACATTTAAGTTGTTTTTTGCGTTAAACCTTTCAAGTTCTGAGTTTAA